GCTTGCCACATATAAGCAAAACGTTGAAAATTATTGAAATCGGACTAAAATAACGGCCGCTTCTCATATAACGGTAAATTTCAGAAATGCTTGAAACTTCAATATTTCGAAATTGAAGGACGCTAATTTACTCAAAATTGATACACCCCGGCTTACCATCTAGCGGAAGGTTTCGGGAAGGTGAAAAAACATATATTTAATACTTGCGCCGGGTATTGAATGTTCGGCTCCGCCCGAACTTAGACTTTCTTACTTGTTTTTTATTAATCTAGTTGTGTTTTAGTTTTACTAGTTTATGTTAACTATGTTTTTAAAACATTTGACATTGAAAACAAATATTAAAACTCAAAAAAATTTGTGGTAGGTTTTGGTTGGTTATGGTAGGAAATTTTGGTAGGAAAAAAAATTTGCCTGTGGCAACGCTGAACGTAATATATGAATTTTAGGTATTTCATAGGTTATTGATCCCTTTTATGTGCAAGAATAATAATATATGAAAAGCAAGACGAAGATGACCGATAGAGTAATAAAACCGCAATCAGCGATGTTGTCGTCTGCAGACGAATCGTTCGTGTTGCCTATCGCTCGTGATACAGCATAGGCAGTGTTGCCATCTTTTGATTTTCAAAAAGCACCAAAAACTTGGGAAAAAAGCCTTTTACCACACTAAAAGCACCACATTTTTTTCAAGGGATGCTTTTTTCATAACATAATACCGAAGTACTGCACATTAAAACTGGTATATCTCGAGAAAGAAAAATCGAATCGTATCAAACGAAAATGATTCCCTAATTAGAATTGATCAAATACTTTGATGTTTTGATTATATAACCTCAAATATCGCTAAAAACCGTTTTTTTGGCACTTTGAGGTTAGGATATCTCAAAATTCTAGTGCTAGAGCAATTGTGAGGCCATATTTGGATTCAGCACCAAGAAACGACGTGTTTTACTCAGGTGGTAAAAAAAAACAAGATTTGTACAAATAATTAGAAAAGAATAAAATAAATACTTAACTTACTTGCGTACTAGCATTTTCAACGCGAATAGAATTTAACAAGGTGGGTTTGCAACTTCAGTTTTTTATCAATCATGGTTGTATTTTAGTCCATTTAAATTTGTAGATTCTTGTAAATTCAGTGCTGCCAGAGCCTTAAATATTCCAAATTATTTCAGGTTTTAACTATCTCGAAGTAATTTTAGTTCAGAAAAAAAGCACTAAAAAAGGCACTAGGCACTAAATAATTTTTTTTGGCGTTTTAATTTTCAAAAAGCACTAAATCTAGTGCTTAAAGCAAATTTTAGATAGTACTACATATTTTGAAATTGTGGAAGTTATCGAAGGTCAAAATTTAAAAAATTAAGAAAAATTTGGGTTTTTTTATTTTACCCGAAAAAATTCCCAACAAGCCAAGTCCGACAGAAGATTATTATATACCATTTTAAAGGCCTATATATCCTCTTCCCAGACCATATTCAATCTTTGAAATCGAATCAAAAATAGTCATTCATAAACTCATGCATCTACAAAATCGTATTTTCTGACCTAAATTGACAGGTCCCGACCTCTGAATGACCTTTAAAAAATCTATAAAAAGTGGCAATAATATTTCTCATAAAAACGAATAAAATTAGGGGGTAGGGTCTCCAAATTTCCAAAAGAAAAACATTTTCGATAGGCACCCTAGTAGTAATAGATAAATGCTCAAGTACGAATGTAACGGTTGTTTTGAAAAAAGGGGCGTTCAGGAATTATACGGAACCTATTTTTATGTTGTACTCGACCATAGATACAACCTACACTAGGTTTTGTTTCGGGCGTACTTCATACCTTTTTCTTAGCACTGTCTAATCTAAACCATATCAATTTTTGGTTAGCTGTAAAGCAATATATATTGCAATATCTCAAAGCAATATCTCAAGTAGCACACTGGTGTATAAATTGGTGTAAATTTATGGATTTTGGTACAAATGTGATTAGATTGAATAAAAAAAGAACGTTTTGGTGTATTTGTTATTCCACCAGTATTTCTTTCAAATCAAAATTCTACCTTTAACATTTTGGTACTATTTATTCATTGAGATTAGTACGAAAACTACACCAGCTCCTAAAATGCGCAACTTTTTTCATTTGGGTCACAAATAGCTCCACGTTAGCAAATGTTATTAAAATTATTCTGGCGACATTCTGAGTAGTGATGTGCTGAATTCTCTGTACCCAATACTTGAAAAAAATTTCGGTACCCAATACTTCCTTTTCGGTACCCGATACCGATTCAACACACTAAACTTTCGTCATTATATCTGTGCCGTTCAATTAAAGTAGCTTAAGTCACTTTAGATGGTTTGACTTTGAATTAAAACAAAAATCAGTTTCCTTCGAAATTGTTTTATATTTTAATTAAGATTCTATTATAGGGGCATCTTGAACTACATCTTTGGCTAGTTAAACGTTAAAATATTGTCTGGGAATCCAATGAAATGTTGCTTTAAAGGGAAAAGGACCTATCCCGACATAGGTTACTTTTGCGGGAAAAAATTATTGATATTTTATAAGACATCGCCTAAAAACCCAAAATGTACAAATAAGACGGTCCTTTCTCAATAGATGAGCAATGGGTTTGTATGTATGTAGGTAAGTGAAGCAAGCATAATGTGTGCGGCGAACAAGGCAGGCAATTAAATCTGCACAATAATGATCAATTCGAATTTAATAAGGTGGTGTTAGCCGTATATAAGTGAAGAATTACACTAACAAATTATACGCAGATATTCATACTGTCATTAGTATTAACTACAACAAACACGTAATTTTGATGTAATGTCCTCCACGGCGAAAAATTCAGATACGCCGGTAACACCACCTTATTAAATTCGCCCTGATACTGATGTCGCAAAACACACTCTCGCCTTCTTTTACTTATCGCAACCGTCTTTCCAACTGCAATAGTTCTGGTGGCAATAATAGGGCTATTCGCGATTCGGTGCATAAGAGCTGACAAATTTATGCAATTGCAGAAATATGCCATGGATTGTGAGCGACCTTTATTAAACTGTCATGGTAAAGCTTTTGCAAAACAATTTTTGTGCATCAGCTTTGGTTTTGTTTATGAATGCAATGCATAGCATTTTTATGCTATGGATTTTCGGTATTGCAAATTTGCCAAGCCATGACAAATGCAAATGCGTGTATTTTGTTTGTGTATTGCAAATAATTTGCAATACAAATTTGCAATGCAATGATGCTAGGCCATTTGCACCGGATCGCGAATAGCCCTATTATTTATTTTTAATAGCTGACACTATATGTATGTGTACATATAACTCATATTTTTGGCTGTTGCGCGCTTTTATTAGAAATTCCAAGATTTCAGTACCGAGTATCGAAAGTATTTGATACTTTTTAAATCGGTACCGAGTATCGATCAATACTTAAAAGTAGCGACTCAGCACATCAAAAATTCTGAGAGAAATTGACAGTGGTGCAAAGAATTCACCAAAAAATTAATATTGAATACACCACACAGTAGCTTTGTTTCTTTACAGATAGGCGCATTTACACAAGGTAGTGTTAGCCGAATATAAGTAAAAGATTACAAAAGAAAATTACAAGAAACACATAATTTTCACGTTATGCGGTGAAAAATTCAGCTGTTGCCCCAACATTAGAGAGATTAGGCACAGCTGATTTGATTTGCTTCGTTTACATATTTTTGTATTTTTTAATAAAAATGGGCGATTTATTAAATTTTATAAAGTGTGGCAAAACGTGAGTATTTGTGAACAATTTTTAAACATAAAATGCGATTAAAAATTCGCAGCAAATACATATGTTCAGTTGTCAAAAGCATCGGTCAGGTGTTTACTAGCTAGTTTCTCCTAGTTTGCGTTTCTTGACTTTTTCTATATTTCACTCGCTGTGAGCGTAATTCTGGAATTCTTCCCATTCTTCTTCCTGATAATGATCTGCTAGAAAAGTAAAGAAACAAAGCTAGTGTGTGTGTACATAATACACTGCCTGTTTTAATATGAGCTTATTATACATACCACAAGTAGAGCTGCTATCAGTGTTGCCGTTTTGATAAATTGGTAGTTTCATTTCAGGGCTGTTCTGGTTTCGTTCGAAATTGATTTCTCATCGATTTGGATTTCCGATTCCGAATTTTAAAGATGTTTTGCAATCCTATCGAAGTTTTGAAGTTATAATAGAAAATAAATCCTATTCGAAATGTCAAAAATGCATTGAACTGTTGTTGCATAGTATTTGTTTATTAAAACATTTGTAAAAATTTTAAATAAATCTTGTCGAATGGCGGTAACACAATGGTGATGTGAAAGTAGAAAAGCGTACTGAAAGCGTGCTAAAATGACCTAAAACTCGTACCGAAATATTAAGATTATGTTGCTGACATTCCGTAATTTTATTGCATCATGGTTAAATGAAAACAAATAAATAAAAATAAAATTGTGCGAGCACAGTAATACATTTTTTTTTGTTACCAAATATAAAATGTTTATATCGATTGTATTTTTTTACATTTTAGACATAAAATAATTGATATAAATTGAATTAATCTCAAAGATTCATACTTTTACATAAAGTAAAATCAGAAACGAAATAAAATATCAATATCTGATGATTAAAAAAGATTGGTAGTTTGGAAACTGATTTGGTAGGATTTTTTGTTCCTAAAAATATTGTCGAGTGGTAACACTCGTTGGTATGTTTAATACACTGGTGAAATATGCATTAATAAGGCACCCCTACACGCTTAAAGTTTGTACTAATGATTCAACATCGTGCCTTCACAAATGCAACTATAAGTTGCATAGTACATACGAGTACGAACAACAGCGAGAATTTTTTCTACATAACATAGGCGAACGCTGATTATTTTTCTTCTTTTCGTACGCGAACGTTAACAAAACATGTTGAAATGTATACGTTCGCGTTTGCGTTCGAATAATGGACGTGTGGTAGGCGCTTAAACTTCTGTCAACTGTGTTTATTTGACAAGAAACATTTTTTATACCAAATTCTCCAACTGAATTGTGTCTAGGGCGAAATAAATACACCGTTCTTGGCTTGGCAAATATTTTTGTTCCAAACTCAAGAATCAGTGTAAGTTTTCAACGACGACCATATTTTCAAAGTATTATAAAAGTAAGGCTAAGTTCACAACCTAGAGTAATAGCGTTACGCGATGCAATGGAAATCGCTCAATCTAAAGAAACTTCTTCGCCAGCATAATCGCTGGCAATTAAAAAGGAGCTAGTGTTTATTGTTAGTGTTATTTGTTAGTGTTAGTGTTAATTGTAGCATTTTGGATTTAAAGTTGCTGCGTACCAATCTAGCACACATTTTGTTGTTGGGAAAGCAACAAAACGTGTGATACTTTGCTACGTAGGGATTCCCCTAATATATGTTTTTTGTTTCCACAACCCTTTGACAATTTATACCGAAACTTAAGCATATTGTATTGTATATAATGGCAGTAGAATAGATGTTTAATTTATTATATAAATATGTACATATGTATGTTTTTTATTTATTTGGGCTTTAAGTATGAGAAAAAGCTTTTTTTTAACAAACTGCATAATTTTTAGTTGCTTGCACAGCGATAAACACCAAAGACTGTGTAAATGTTGGTTAGAAGCGATTTTTATGTATTCTCGCTACGCTAATACGTTAGGTTGTAAACTTAGCCTAATACTGAAACTCAGCTGGACGCCATATTAAAGCTGTATGACTATTATTTAACTAATTTAACAATTTCATTATGTACATTGGCTCAACTATGCCACTTTATGGGTATTTTCGAACCTTTTTTAAACAGCGCATCTCTTAAAAATTTAGTAATGGCGAAAAACTCATTGCTTTCAAAATATAAGTTTTTCCAGATTTATTTAAAAATCTTCAAATCCTTATAAATTTTGAGGCGCTCGAGTTTTAGAGGGGGTAGTACCGAAATTCACTCGAATGTACCTCGTTTTTAAATTAGGAACTCACATTCATTACACATTCGCGATTTTCTTGCCTGCATATTACGAAAAGTAATGCTGAGATTTATAAAAAGAATTCCAAATCGTGCAGATTAAAAAAGAGCTTCGGTGTAAATTTTATGTCTGAGTTAATTTTAAATTTGATTAGTAGTAAATTTTATTCCTCGAATCCTTTTGTACTCTTCACACTCATTAAAATATATTTATGCTAGAATATGATGTAAATTCTTTACCATTATGGTGTATGATTTGAGCCAATACCAATACGTATTTTACACCAACGGAGTTTATATTATATTCTAGAAACAAGAAAACTTGTATACCACTGGCATAATATATATGCCGAAAATCTGTCAAAAAAAATTGACGGTAGGTGTAAATAATGCACGAAAAAGCGGTATAACCTTTACACTGAATCGGAATAAACTGTTCAAAAACTGCGCTTAGAAATGGCATATTTTTCATATTGAAAATGTATATCACGCCGATGTAAAAAATACACAAAATATTTTGGTATATTTTTGACTTTTGTGCTACTTGAGATGTATACAGTTTCGATGGTAAAGAATATAAATTTGGTATTCTTGGTGGTCGAAACTTTATATCTAATGTATGTTTGTATATACATATGTATATATGTATATTATACATACATATGTACCTACTATAGGTATTTACATATAATTAGATATGTATGTATATCCTGCTGAGTATGCATGCATATAATTTTCGTTACTCCGTAGTTTTTTGTTTTTGAATGTAAAAAATTTTAAAACTTATGCGAAGCTCACCTGTCATCATAAGCAAATCCGGCATTCAGAGTATTCATATACAGCACAAAAGCTAGGGTACAGCAGCCTAAGCTCGTATAGTCCATACTGAAAACAAATAAACGAAAATTTTATAAAACAAACTTTTATAGATATTCGTATAAAATAACACCGTCCGACAAGAAAAAATCAAGCATTTTCGGAAAGTACAGAAAAAAGTGCCCGTATTTTGCCATTTTTCTCGACTAAGTCATTCACATTTTCTATGAGGAAAAAGAACCTTTAACAACCTCTAATGTGATAAATTCTTTTGTTAAGTTTACATATAGTCTGTGACCGTGTTTTCATACTACATATTTTAACCTCTAAAGCTTTGAGGATAGGCACTGAAGAGAAGACACTAGATACAAAACCAAAGAAGGCAAAAATGACGGACTTCTAGCTGCCGACAAAATGAAGCCACAACAATTCCTCAACCCATCGCGCTCCGCAAAACTAAGAAGACGCACCTGCCAAAGGAAAAGAAGTAGTTAATCTATCTAAACTAATTATATAAAGAGAAGTATCTTTTTTTGTAACAGGTAATTTCGCGAACAGCTGGTCCGATTTTCGTGAAACTTTGTGTATGAATAGCTATCAGCAACAACCATGTCATACGAAAAAAAAATTTATTTTTTCCAGCAGCTAGACCGGGGTCCGATTTGCTTAAAATTTGGTACGTAGGTAGCTTTTTGTCTAGATTAGCATATAGTGATATATCTACTATATATTTGTGTGTATATATGTATGTATGTCAGACTGTCCCAAGAATATATGGAAAAAAACTTGTTTTCAAATTTTGATATGCATACCCTCTATATTTGTGCTTTTTAGCCTAAATAGCATATATATGAAGTTTTATGGCCGTAGGCTAACGATAACCCGTGCCGACTTTTAGTTGAAGTTTTAGTTAATAACTTGAACTAAGGCTGCCAAATCGTCCATGAAAACTTTGTAAAAGTAATAAATTCGATATTTTAACGCATTTCTAGTAAATCTGCATCTTTAAATTTTTAATAGGATGACAGGATTTCTCCCAAGGACATCGAAAAAATTAATTAATCGAAAAGTATAGCGGCTTTTTAACGGTGTATTACAAGGCTGCAAAACGATATGTTTTCTATTCGAATAATTTGTGTATGTCCTGAAGGACTGCAATTGTAGAACAATTTTTAATAGGTGTGACAGGGCCTACGATGAACATTAAATTATTAAATTCAACTTGTATTACAAATTTTTATCCTCATTTAAAAAAATAGCTTTCATAATACTAAATAATCAAAATAAAACGTTTCAGTTGTGACATGTCCTCTCGGGTTGATATAATGGTTGTACTTCCGTATGACATAAAAAAAATTTAACAAAATATAATTTTCATATCGTACTGATTTACAACAAGTGAACAGCCTGAAGGGACATATAAAATATGAAAGCATATGATTTGGTTTATTTAATACTAGCTTTTACCCGCGGGTTTCACCCAACGCCAGAAGGAATTAAAGGGGTCATGTGACTTGTGGTTCCGAAGTTATGGCTGATAAAAAATTCCAAGCCTATGTTAAGTGCTACGCCCCCTTTTACAAACTCATTTATATATACCTTACTATAAGCACCTACTATAGATATGTCTGCATACTAAATGTTATGTTTATATGACTTATTGTTCTAAAGTTACAACTGGTAAAATATTCCACGCCTTTGGGATTTGCCGCACCCTTTCACAGTCTTATTTATATATATATACCTTACTTTAAGCATCTGCCATAGATATGTCTGCATACCAAATTTCAAGTTAATGTGACTTAGGGCCAATTTCACAATGCGTAGTTAACTCAGAATCGGGAGTTAACTACAGAATTTTGTACTGAAAATCTCTAGTTAACTGTCGATTCTGAGTTAAATACGCACTGTGAAATTTGCCCTTACTGTTCCGAAGTTAGAGCTGATTAAATAATTCACGCATATGGGAGTTGGAATTAATTTTATTTATCTCGACAGCAAGTTCCAATGCTCTACCACAAATATTTCAAGAGACATACAACATGAAAATTTTAGTTAGTATAGGAGGTGCCACGCCCTTTTCCTGTACCGCCCATTTTTCTCTTTGCCTATAACCTTCCCGGGGTAAAAACAAATAAGTGTGCAAAGTTTCGTGCGATTCCGTGCCGCGATTCAGAAGTTATAAGGTAATAAACAAACAGACATTCACATTTATATATATAGATTCTGTAAGGCATTTTTTTTAAGAAAAAGGAATGTAGTAGAAAAACTGAATTTAATAATTTTGTATTCATCATACGCTCTGTCAGACCAATTAAAAAATTTTCAGAATTGCACGTTTTCAGGAGATACACAAATTTTTCTACTAGAAAAGATATATATGTACGGTAGGATTTCTCCCAAAGACATCGAAAAAATTAATTAATGGAAAACGCATAATGGATTTGAAGGGGTGTATTACAAGGCCGCAAAACTATATGTTTGCTAGTCGAATAATTTGTGCTTGTCCTGAAAACTTGCAATTTTAGACCATTTTTTAATAAAATTTTTATATTCAACTTTTTTAACAAACTCTTTTCCTCCTTTAAAAAAACGGATTTCATAATATTAAAGAAACAAAATAAAGTGTTTTAGTGTTTGACATGTCCTCTCGGGTTGATTAAAGAATAAATGTGGCAGTATTAATTAGAAAACTTGAAAAATATGATTTTAAATTTTTATCCTTTAGTATCCTTATATATATTAATAAGATTTAAATTAAACTAAGATTCTTCCAAACTCATTCAAAATTAAAAATCTTGAAGGATAATATTTTTAAAGGACATTTTTGACATGCTCCAGAAGGATAATTGAAAACAAAAGTTATAGTTAATCTTGTTTCGAATTGTTCTTTGATTTGATACCCATATCTCCATAATTTGTGTAAACTTTTGGAAATATATGATAACTTGTGGTCCTTTGAAAAAAATCCTAACTACCAGGTAAAAAACCAAAAACGCAGATTTACTAAATCTTATGTCCTAATACTGTAGGGAGTATAGTAATACCATCTTATATGGTAGTAAAATGAGTAAATTAAAAAAACACGCGAACTGCAACAAGCTTATTCTGATAACTTTGACTGCAAGTTTGCCGTGTTAGAATTGCATAAAGTTTTATTCGGATATTTTTTAAGATAACACCAACGAAATGAGGGGGTATGCGTCAAAAACTAACAATGTTGGTTTTTTGGGACAGTCTAATGTATGTATGTGCCAGGTGCAGCCTAAACGGACGGACAGAATCGAACAAAATTTTGAAAGAGTATTGCCATGACACCTGGGCCTTTCATAGGGTAAAAAAAAGGGGGCGTGGCACCTCCCATAGGCGTCAAATTTTTAATCAGCTAGAACTTCCAGACCATAAGTCCCATGAACTTGAAATTTGGTATGCAATCATATATATGGTAGGTGCTTACAGAAGGATATATATAAATGAGTAATAGATGTTATCAGCTATAACTTCGAAACCATTAGTCCCACGAACTTGAAATTTGGTATGCAGACATACCTATGGTAAATGCTTATATTAGGGTATATATAAATAAGTTTGTGAAAGTAAGCGTGGCACATCCCATATTCGGAACCATCCGTCACATGATATTGAAATTTGGTATGCGTACATATCTATGGTACATATCTATAGTAAGGTTTACACAAATGGGTTTGAAAAAGGGGGCGTGGCACATCCCATATTCGGGGAAATGTTTATCAGCTATAATTTCGGAACTACAAATCTCACGAACATGAAATTTGGTATGCAGGTGCTTATAGGAGGGTATATATAAATGGGTTTAAAAAGGGGGCGTGGCACATTCCATAGGCGTGAGATTTTTAAGAGCTATAACTTCGGAACTATAAATCCCACGAACTTGAAATTCGGTATGCAGGTGCTTATAGGAGTGTGTACCCTGTGGGAAAATCTCTAGTTCTGAACTGGTGCGCTTCTAGTACATTTAGACCCAGTACTGGTTCGCGATAAATCTCTTTTGCATCCACAAGCAACTGGCGAATTTAACATGGCGATGTCCTAGGAAGTGTCAATTGCCCCCCTCCCCCCCGCATCCCATTTTCCATAGTTCCCAACTAGTCATAAATTCTATAGTTCCGAACCAGTTCTAAAATCGACAGACGAAAGAAAAAAGTATCATGATTTTTCATTCTGTTTGGTTCTTCCGTGTGTGCGATTTTAAGTTATTTTGGAAGAAATGTGTTTTCAATTTGAAATTAAATTAGTTTGAATGATTGTAAGAAATGTACGTTTACATACTAAACTCCTGCGCAATTCCATTTAAAGGGCCTAACAAGACATCCGATCGCCGCGCAAATACTTTCCCTCCTTTACTCTCATCGTTCGGGTCAAGTGTGAGTAAGCATAAACCAGTTTCTGCAAGCGTACGTAAACTACCGATCAATAGCAAGACGCGTAGAGTATATACTTTGCCTTCCGCAACTACTGCGAGTAAAAGGTATTTGACAGTAGAGTACTCTACTGGTAGTACTTGAGTATTTTCGAAGAAAACATACATTTGTGGCAAGAATGATAGAAGAATTTTCTGGATCGCGCATTTGTGGTATCTGAATAAAACTAAGGACAGGAATGTAGTGGAGCGATGAAGAGAGCGACGAGCAAAACGTACTTTCAACTAATATGCTGATATACATACCTAAGTACATATGTATGTATGTATGTGCATAGATACGTATGTACATAGATACGTATGTGCATAGATACATACAGTTGTCCACAAAATAATAGGAGTGCGATATTTTGACCAGTTTTGGCTATTTGTCTTTTGTTTATTTAATGTTTATTATTTTTTTATAAAAGCCTAGCTGGCTATACAACAGCCACCATATAAATTCAGATTTTAAACTTTGTATAAAAATTATAAAAATTTTGCAATTTTTCACCCAAATTTCAAACTTTTTAATCAGAATCTTTAGAAAAAATTCTGGTATGCAGTTTTGTAGCACATTCAATTCTAGTCTGAAGAAGTGCAAGTTTCAAGCAGCTAAAAAATTCCGTTGATTTTTGGCAATTTTTTTGCTGGCAGGGTCCTCCATATAAAAGAAAATTGTCGACATACTTTGTATGGAAAAAA